CTGTGGTGGCGGGAGCGGCTGCAGTGGGGAGCGAGTGCGGGCGGAAGCGGCCGAGAGCCCAGCGCTGCCCCAGGCCGAGCTGGCCCAGCTGCATCCGTGCCCCTGCGGTGGGATGCTGTGGGACTGGGGGGGAAGAGGGAGGCGGCAGTGGGTGCTGGGCCTGGGGGCAGGAGGAGAAGGGAAGGAGAAGCAGGGTTGAAGAGCAAAATGGTGAAATTATGTACCTGGGGTTTTGCAGGAGGAGGAGGAGTGTGAGGTAGAGTAGGGACTCAGGAGGAGGAGGAGGAGGAAGAGGAAGCAGCACCAAGTTCATCCCTGAATCTTCAGCTCCCTCACCCCAGGAATGTTGCTTCCCCACATGCATCGGGTGACTGGGGAGGGGGATCCACGATTTTGTTGGGGCTGAATCTTGGTGTTTCTAAGCTTTATTGGGCTAAATGTTGGTGTTTTAGAGATTCTAACAGACAAAAGATGACCAATGACTTTCTGAGATGAACTTGGGCATGGAGGAACCCCCAGCCCAAGGCGCTCTCCTGTTGTTTATTTCCCCCCAAACAGGGATTTTACGTTCCCAAACCGTGTCCAGATGGAGCAGGAAGAGGAAAAGCCCTGGAGATGCCACACAAGGAGGGGCTGCAAACTCAGTCCAGGGAGCTGCAAGGAGGAAAGATCCCCCCAGTGCCAGGAACACGGCCAGAGATCCAGCCGGAGCTCAGAGCTGGGGGTGAAACCTCATGGTGGGGAGAAGCCCCACAAGTGCTTGGAATGTAGGAAGAGTTTCAGCCGGAGCTCCGACCTGAAGAAACACCAGAGGATCCACACTGGGGAAAAGCCCTATGAGTGTGGGAAATGTGGGAAGAGCTTCAGAAGTATCTCTGACCTGATGAAACACCAGGTGATCCACACAGGGGAACGACCCTACACCTGCTTGGAATGTGGAAAGAGCTTTGGGTGGAGCTCTGACTTGAGGAAACACCAGCGCATCCACACTGGGGAGAGGCCCTACGAGTGTCCTGAGTGTGGGAAGAGGTTTCAGACCAGCTCCAGTGTCCTCCTACATGAGCGGATTCACACAGACGAGAGGCCCTTCCGCTGCCCCGACTGCGGGATGAGCTTCAACCGCAACTCCACCCTTGTCAGTCACCGGCGCATCCACACTGGGGAGAGGCCCTACGAGTGTCCCCAGTGTGGGAAGAGCTTCTCACAGAGCTCTCACTTGACCCGACACCAACGGAGGCACCAGTAAGGGAAGCCCTGTGAGTGCCCCGAGTGCGGGAAGAGCTTCGTGCGCTGCTCCAGCTCCATCCCCCATGGGAGGATGGGCGTTGGATGATCCCCAGTGACCCCCGTTGGGCAGAGCCCTGGTGATCCGTGGTCCTGGTGATCTGTGTTGGGAAGACACCTGGCTGGGAGGCTCCACATCTTCCTGGCTCCCTGTGGGCACCTGGATGAACACCGGGGCAGGAACAACATCGGGACACAGACCAACAATGGGAATTCCTTGTGGGGGGCAGATTTGTTGACTTTCAATCCCAGAAAATCTTTTGCATTCAATCTTATCTTCTGGTGGCATCAAGGAATACTGGATGGTCTTGGAGGTCTTTTCCAACCTCACTGATTGCACAGTTTTGATTTCCTATTGCTTAAGGGTGTCTTCCACAGCCAAATGGTGATGAAGTGGGGCAAAGATCAAGGTTTTGGAGACAGTGGTGCGGAAACCCCTCCCCCCCTTTTTCCCTCCCACTCAATCACAAGGATGCTCAGCCAGCACAAAGAAATCCTTTTGTTTTGGCCTTGATTTTCTTTTCATTTCTCTTCTTTCCTTTAAAATATCTAATTTTGGGGTAAAAATAAAGACATTGAATTAAGATATGGGTGAGAACATTGAGGGACATAGACATGGTGACACATGGACAGGGACGTGGCTATGGATGCTAACTCTGAAATAGAGAGCACGGTGCCTGTGGAAATTGCAGGCCACATAGTTTTCTCAGTCTTGCCTGGGAATTCATAACGAGGAATTAAAACAATCCTCAGAGACAGAGAACAGCCTTGCAGGTGCTGTTTGTCTGTTCCTTGTTTTCTTGCAAGAGAAGGTCAAGGGGTGGTGTACCCCATTGACCAATGATGGTGATGTGGTCGTTTGCTAACCAATAAGAGTTTCTTTTCTGTACTTTTCACGTATCGGTCTATAAAAAAGACCTGAGTTAATAAACCAGAGAGAAATTCTCCTGACTGACTCCCAAGAGAGTCTGTGTTGTTCTTCTCGCCGTTCCTAATAGAGCGACACGTGGCCATTCATGGGGCATGGGGGGACACGGGCACAGATGGAGAAGTGGGGGACAATGCCAGGGGTGGAAACATGGTGGGGACACAGCTCTGGGTGAGGACATGGTGGGCCATGGCCAGTGACATGTGGGGACATGGCCATGGCTGCTGCCATGGGGGGAACTTGCAGGGGCTGTGGGGGATGCTGGGTTTGAGGGAGTTGAGGGTTCCTGGCAGGGACTTGGGGCTTGCTGAGGGCTTTGGGGAGCCCAGACCGAGCGGCTACGGCTGCGCTGGGAGCCCCTGGCGGAGGTTCTGGGGCAGCTGCTCAAGGACCCCCTGGCCTGGAGCCCCAGCTGGGCATTGGGCTCCTGGAAGGGAATGAACGTCCTTGTGCCCAGGAGGGAAATCCCAGCACCCCCAGGGTGTGGGGGGCAGCTGAGAGGCCACAGCAGGGAGGGGAAAGCCAGACAGAGCTGTCCCCCTCCAGAACTGCACCCCAAAAATCCCCAAACTCAGGAATTGCTCCCAGGAAAAAGCTGCCAGCATCTGCTTGAATTGAGTGAAAGGGGGGATGGGAGGGGTGGGGTGGTGGATTGGTCGGCAGTGGGGCAGGGGTGGAGGAGCAGGGGAAAAGAGGGGCATGGGAGCCCCATATTGGGTTTGGATGAGTCTCGCTCCTCCTTCTTCATCCCACCTCCTTCTCCTCTCTGACCCTTTTTCTCTCCATGAGAGAAAGTGTCTCACCTAGGGAGAAGCTCTCCAGGGAAGAGCCAAAATCTCTGAGCTGGCAGGTTCTTTGGGCTCCACAGAGGAAGACAGCGCT